TCAGCACTGCTGCCTGGCGTGGCACCATCTCCAGCAGGTCTGCCAGAAGTAGACTCTGGCAAAAAAAAGAGGAGGGGAGGAGAAAAAAAAAAAAAAAGAAAAAGGCAGGGGGTTGTCCCTCCAGTATTTGAATAGTCCTTCCAATAGTCGAAGTTGCTTCTCTTGTGCTATGTTGGTCTTCTGGCCAAATCCCACAGTGCTTGCTAGATTCTTATTCAAACCAGTTTCCTCTCAATTCAGCTGGAGCTCCCTTTGGCAGAGGTCTGCAGGAACTGCCTTCCTCTTGTTTAAAGTTAGGAGAGAATTTGCAGAAGGAAACAATTCAAGTGGTTGGGTAAGTGGGGAAAACTCTTAAAAAGTCCTCAAAATGTCATACCCTCATTTTGCAAGGTCATGTGCAATCTTCTGTTCTCTGTAAAGTTAAACATGTTATAACATTGTTTGCCAGGCTGGGGCCATTACTATGAAACTGTTCTAGATGTTACTGCAAGTATCTGATATGAGTATTGTTCAAGACCTCTTGACTTTGACTCGGCAAACAGGCCATTGAGAAAACCAGTTTTCTGGCAAACAGGAAGGCTTGCTGCCGTTGAGGTGCATCCTTCTGCCAAGAGACAGCCTGTGCAAAGACATCTGATCTGGCAAGCAAGAAACCCGAGGCTGAACTCAGACTTGGGTTCCCCGAGTGCTAATGTATCGTGTGACTGAAGTCACTGCTGGTCATATGGTTGTTACTTGTTTTTTATTTAGGTGGAATCATAATGTGTCTTAACTGGTCGAAGCTTGAGATTCACCAGGGAAAGCTAGGTAGAGGGATAGATGTTTTTACTGTAAAACCATGGCTTGAACAAAGCTCTTTGCAGCTTGGGGAGGTGGGGAGCAACCAACCAAAAAAACCAGAAACCTGATTGCCTTCCATCAATTTTGTATGTAGTTGAAAATAGGTTCTACAGCAGGCTTGGATCCACCCTCCCCCCAGTATTATTACGTTTTTGTGTTCAGCTTCATCCTGGTATCCAACATTTGGGTTCCCATCAGCAGTATGCTGCAGGCATACCATCCCTTGAATTTCTTATTGAAGCACAACTGAAGCTGAAAAACACAAGTTTTCAAAGCAGGTTACTAGCACTGAGGAGTATTTATGGAGGGTTGGTCTGAAGGAAAAAAAGAAGTCTCAGTAAGACTGAGCCGCACTCTGACAAAATGACACTGCTGCAGAGCAGTCAGGCAATGATCTGAGTAGACATTTGCATGTCTGCTGGGTAAGCAAACATCTTTCTTTCACTAACAAAAGCACTACTTCTTGACCTGTGATTTTTCCAAGTGTCACTGTCGGGTTTATAAATAGCTGGCAGAAGGGGAGGGGGAGAAGATGACTTTGACTTCTGCCCGGTGAGCACCTGGAGGTTCCTCCTGCCTGGCGCAGCAGACCCGTCACTGGCTCCGTGGGCTCGGCATGCTGTCGGGGTGCCCAGCACAAAATGTGCCTCTTGCATGGACATATGGACACTATGCTGCAGCACGCTTAGGATGTGTGTGAGCGACCTTCCATGCTTTGTTGCAATCTCTTATGTCGAGGCATGACTGTTTACAAAGAGGATGCAAAATGTGTTTTCTCTGGATGCAGCAATGATCTAGCAACCGAAGCCCTGGCTCCCAGATTTCTCCAGGCAACGTTTGGTCCTTTAAACTATCTCTTCTTGCTTTTTCTCAGGGCCTTGCTGTGATTGTTTTTGTGCAGTTCGGTGCCAGTCAGCTCCACACCCCCCCGCCTCTCTCTTGCAGATTCACAAACCCACCTAAAACACTAGCTGGCAAAAATCCCCCGCCCACGTGTGTCAAATGTGTGCCTTTGTTTGGGTGATGACACGTGCCTGTATTTGCTGATGGTGTTTTAGCTGCTTGGTTCTGTAAGCAATGTCACCATCTCCTCCAACAATCTGTGGAGAAGAGTGGTGCTTGCACTTCCCCCTCACCTCCGCTCCAGTACGCTTTAGCCCAACCTGAACTATTTTAGTGCAACGATCGAGAGAAGCAGCAATTGCTCATATGATGTGTCACACCATAAACTTCAGGAAAGTAATTCATTCCAACAGTGTAATTCTAGGATTCAAGAACCAAAAATATGGCCTATTACTCATCTTTGTACCTCATAACACAGAATAACCTAAACCATTTATTTATTTACACCGTAAAGGTTTAACCAAATCAAAGTGTTGAATGTCAAGAGCCACTGTTGCTACATACTCAGAGTAATTACTTGCTTTATCATTTATTTTTTATTTCTGTGCCAATATTGGCCAAGAATTTGAGTCAAGAGATAGGCGTGATGCAGATGATGCAGAGACAAAGAGCCCCTACTTGAAACTTGGGAGAGCAAAACTGACTAACTGGCATGTCTTGAGTAGGTTATGAAAGCTCGAATGTGTTTATTTCATGGTTATCTAACACCTGCAGTATTTTCTCTACTGAATGCTTTTTCCTTCTGCATGAATGAAATTTTCAGGTGTATGCACACACATACACACCATACAGGGGGCTGTGTATATTAAATGCATCGGGGCACATTTGGTCTTTGCTTACCGTCTAACTCTGGATGAACTCAGAATAGGGGATATTTAGCTAAGTCAGCCCTGGAGTAACCGAGTGCAGAGTTTGATCCCTAGATGCTTCAGAATAAATTGTAAATTGGGGGAAAATCCAAGAAACCCAAACAAGTGAAAACATCCCACCAGAGCTCTGCCTGACAGTGCTTGCCCCTTTGCACAACCCTTGTACCATGGGATGCATTTCACTGAGGAGAGCAAAGTGATCCTATGAGAAAGCAAAAGCAAAAAGAGCAGTGCAAGGGAAA